TCCATGTCACTGACAAAGATGTTAGTAGCAGTCCCAATCATCATAGAATCACTCTTCTTTAAGAATACTCTTCAGTATTTTTGGTGCTATATCTGAAGCTGTAGTATCCATATTTGCTTTCAGCCTCTACTTATGACTTAGAAACAAAATTCATCCCTATTACTTTAGGGAACAATGGACCCACGTTGTTAGGAATCTGGGGCTGTAGACCACAAGAAATGTGAAAGTAACTGACCCGCAAGGTTTTGAGGAGTAATTGAAGTAACTAGGTTAAGATTTCTGGTGGACTGGCAGTTCTGGCAACTCTAAGTCAGGTACAGTGTGTCCTGCTAATTTCAAATTAAGTTATACTGCCAGCAGCCTTCTAATAAGCTTCCGTGGAGAATTATGCTCCATGACTAGGAGGTGGCTCTGATTTTGAAATCATGATGATATTATGTTTCATTTTCCAGTGAAGACTGTTTTTACAGTGGTTGTCAGACTTGCTTCTCCTGGCTGTCTTGTTCTATAAAGAAAAAATATTTTTTGTCCATGTCTTAAGTAAAAGTTTAAAAATTGTCGCACCTAAGTTTGTCATGAATGTTCCATTATTATTTTTGGTTTCTAACTCTCACTTGGGAAGAAAAGTTGAGTGGTTTTAGAGTCTCTGTCCCCTTCAGTTCTAAGGATAATGAGAAATTAATTTGTCTCTGCAGAAGAGGAATAAATTTCAGGTAATCCATGTCAGTGTCTGTCTGGTTGTCTCAGTTGATACAGATACATGTTGAAGGATGTTATAAATGCATTATCAATTCCTGCAACATCTCAGAAGCTCCTGTGCTGCTTCGTGGTCCTGCTGTCAGCCAAATTCTGCACTTCACTGGAACTCAGTTTTTAATCTGGGATTTGACAGTGCAGGGAAGAGAGATGAGGTGGGCAGTGCATGGTGATCTCTGTAGTGGTCCTTTGAACTATATGGCTGCAAAATGGGGGCCAGAGAGTGTGAAAACTCTTCAGCTGTTACTACTAGTTTTCCTGTGTAACTGCTGTATTGAAATGTTCTCTAAACATTGGAGAGAGTTTAATAAAGTACCAATTCAAGGGTGGTACCTGAACTTTGCAAACACCAATATAATATATTCTATTCCTTTACATTTGGTCAGTCAACATGACAGTTTTCAGTTACATTTATCATCATTTTTTATGTATTTAAAGAATTATTTTAAAGAAGATTACTTCCAGGAACAAGATGGGTTTTTTTTATAATGACCTGCTGGATACATGTCTCTTGAAAAACTCTTCTGTATGATAGAAAAGTGTGATAGCTTAAAACCTGTGAAGCATTAGGTTAAGTTTTTGGTAGTGTTAGCTATTTACATGGCTGCATTAGCATATACAAGGCAGAAACATTAATAGCATGACAGTTTGACTTGTCTAACTAGGAATGATTTTATGTTTTATGAATAAGAAATAAATATTTAAGAATGTTTTGAAGTTAGCCATGCACTGGAAATTCAGATGTTTACGTTTTATAGGTGAAACAACTGTTATTGTTCTGAATTTATCATTTTATGCATTGTTATTGTTTCTTCTCCGTTGTTCTAAATTGATAGGAATTCTGTGTTTTGGGCAATGTTAGGAAAAGTCTATCTTCATTAAACTAATTGCACTAGAGGTTATAATCTGAAATACTGCAGTCAGTGAGGTAGGAATAGGTGTTAAATACTTTGTAACAGTAGTGTTATAAGTATATACTTGGTTATAACTTTATAACATCCGTATGGCAATTTCTTTCTTCTTTTGAGGCGAAAACAAAATTGTGAATATTATAGTATATTCAACTGTATTAGCAAACATGATACAGCTTTAAGTTTAGAATCCCGCGTGTTGTTGTATATTCTTTTGTTTTAGTGATCTGTTAATATGAATGCTTGATTTCACTTTTTGCCTAATTAGACATGCAGCTTTGACAAATGACATTCAGCTTCTCACCGACCAGCGCTCCTGACCTTGTCATTATTACTAATGGGAACATGTAGCTGCTTCAGGCAAAATAAGCAGTTGTGCATTTTAGGGACTTTATGATTTTGCTACTTACTCTTTTCTTCTTCCCAGAGCAGTAAAAACTGGAGGGCGGCAGTTGACTTTTGTGGGCGGCTTCTAACTGCACACGGTCAAGGCTATAAAAAAAGTGGACTACCTACTAACCATACAACAGATTCTTTACAGGTATGTTTAAAGATACACCCTTGCCGCTTTTCTCCCAACAGTATTCACAGCGGCTTTTTTTTTTTACATGATTAAACTTCTTTTCCTAATTGTTGCCTAAAATTGTTACTGATGTTATTAAAGCATCACAGCAAGTCACTTTTTCTCTTTGCTTATGTAAAGTAGGTCTTCATTTAAAACAAAATAATTTTTTTAATTAAAATTCTATCTTGACTGAATGTTTTTTAAAGGTAATCACTCTAGTAAAAAGGAATAGGTTTTGCTATCTTGGAAGACTCGCTGTGCTAAAGTCCATGGACACTAGGTTATGAACTTAGTAGTAATATTTCAAGTATTAGAAGTATGTTTCATGATGATAAGAAAACAAGAACCCAAATTAATAAAGATCCATGAAACATTGCAAGTGTTTTACTGAACAAAATGTGATACATGAATCTGGTACTAATAACTATAAAGATCATGGAATTTCACCAAAATCCTAAAACATTTTAAGAATTACATAAAATCGGAAAAACGATTAAAAATCAGATTGATAACTCTTACATGCTAACTCAAAGAGAGCTTTTCTAATTTTGAAGCAGGCTAGTTTTTAAGATTCATCTTCAAAATCTCAGTACCTTTGCAAACAATTAAAACATCCATCCTCTGTGTTTTGTGTTAATGATCATATGAAAAGTATTCTTTGAAAGACCATGTAAATATAAATCCTGATTCTTATCAGTAAGTAACATAGAAGCTCTCTTTACCAGAAAAACTTAGGAAGTTGAAATTTTATTTGGATGTGGATTGTGATTGAGACTAATAACACATCTTGTCTTTCCCCTTTTTTTATGTGAATTAATTTTTAGCTGTGGTTTGTGAGACTAGCACTGCTGGTAAAACTGAATCTGTTCCAAAACGCAGAAATGGAATTTGAACCATTTGGAAATTTAGACCAGCCTGATCTTTATTATGAATATTACCCCCATGTATACCCTGGACGAAAAGGTAAGATACTTGATTCATAAAATGCTTTTTATTTTTGCCATTTTTACCACTTATTATACTATAATGGATTCAGGGTTTTTTTAAATTCTAAAGCATCAGTGGACTTTGGCTTATTTCTTTTCCCCCACCCCAGAACTATATGATTAACTACTGTGTTAAAGTATTGTTTGCATTATGGAGGTAGCAATAAGGAGTAACACTAAAGGGTAAAAGTAATTCCATCACTATATAGGTAAGCAATGCCTTTCATAATGCTGATACAGCACCGATTTAAAAGAGAAATGTTTTTAACAAGCAAATATAATAAAGTAGTTTAGTTCTAGGGTATTGAAATTAAGAAGACCCAGACTGTAATCGTTCATTTCAGCCAGAAACAGACCGGGAAAGGTCATGAGAGAATTTGTGGAAACACAATCTATAACCTACTTGTCTTAAGTTCATTCAGGTACTATAAACATGCTTTTTTTAATACTTCTATGTCCATGCACTCGTTTTAATGTAGGTGTTTTCTTCTTAGTTTTCCTGGTTTCTAGGATTTAAAGGGGGAAAAAACCTAACAAACAAACAACTAATTTGATATTTTTGCTTTAAAAAAAATTATTAAATGTAATATTATTTGTTTAGTAATTGAACCTAAATAAAATTCAGTAATTTACTATGTATTCTAGTATTGAAGAAGAAAATAAACACCACCAGCCTCAATTCTTCGTGTTTTTTCTGGAGTTACAAATGCACGACTTCACACTGCTGACAATAGCCCATAGGTTAAGCAATAGTTCCGCTACCCAGGTTATTCTAGTCCTCCAGGAACATGGATTGAATCACTCCTGTTCAGGGTGTTTTGAAATTTTGGGTTTTTTTCTAAACCTGTTATTTAGGCATAACTAACAGTGTCTTACTGTTCTTCAGCTTTCGTATTTGAACCACAGTGTATAATAAACCACTAGTAAGTAACAGTTGTAGTGTTGATGCCAGTGTGTTTCTGAAAGATTGAGAGCCAACAAATAAAAGGGAACATTAAAATGCTGTTTCATTCTTTTATGAGATAATTTGGTGTTGTTTCTGGTTAATACAGGAGTAAGTTACAGAAAAGTTAAGGCTACCAAAATCAGCATTCTAAAGCTACAGTAATTGAGAATAATTTATTTGGAATTACAAAAGAAAAATAAAATCATGCACAAATCAAAACAGGATTTTTAATCCCTCGACCAGAGGTTTGTATGCATAGGGGTGGTTTTTTTCCTTTCTCCTTTTCACTGTGCTTGTGATGATGAAGCATAATCTGTATTCCTCTAACATGACATCAGTCTTCTCTTGTCTGCTGGCAAGTGCCTAAATAAGGAGCATACTGTTAAATACTTAGTTGTATGTGCTCTAGAAACTGGTTTCGTACTGTACACCTTCCCCTGAACTCTATTACTGATTCTAGCACAAGGTGTTTTTTAAAGTGTGGCTTGTTGCAACCGTTGAGATACACTAGTTTGTGCTGCAATAGGCTGATGATTTCAGGTGGATAGTGACAGCATTAAAAAAATATATGTTCTATATAGATAAAATACATATATTTTTCTCTAAGTGGTGTGAGTCTAGACATCACAACTATTGTTTTAGCATATTTCACTAGGTACATATCACTTTTATGACTTTTCTAATATCCACCGTCAGAAGTCGTAGCAGAAATACATGAAGAAATTGATACTATAGTTGGTTGTCTGAGATTTCATTATTTATGTGTCCTTGTTTACTCAAGCTGTGCTCTTAATTTGTTTTTTAAATTCAGATCCCCTTAAAGGAATCCTGTCATATATGGTCTAGAACTGTCGTTCAAACCCGTGTTGTAAACAAGTTTTCAATGCTGATGTCTAAGGTGAACTGTAATAAATTATCATTATTACATTTAATAAGCTTATAAAATAGCAAAAGATGTAATAACAAGCTTCTCCTAAGTCTGTTGACACACAGACACACTGTGCTTGCTGTGAAAACACTCACCCAGAAATTTTCACTAATACCTGCAGAAAGCATTTTACAGATGTCTGGACTGTATGTAGTGCAGACATCTGGACTGTGTATAGTACAGCTCCAAGGTCTGCCTGCTCTCTGCCACTTGGTCCTGCTTCTGAATGTCAGCCTATGTCATGAGGAAGGACAGGAATGGGTTGCGGAAATTACCTCCTGTATGCTTTCACAGTAAACGTAGTGATGCCTCTACAGTGGCATTTGGCCATTTTGAGCCTACTGTCCTCTTCTCTCCTACTGGCCTATGCTAGTAGGAAGCAGCCTTGCTGAAGCTTCCCTACCTTTTTTCGGTGTGGTTTTGAAAGATGCTATTAGATTACTCCTAAAAATCTCCTTATAAATTACACAAATGTGCTGTTGTAAAAGCGTGTAAAAGTGTGTGTGGCTGTGTGTGAATATGAAGGCAAGGACATACCTACATCTCTGTGTATATGTATGTATAAAGCAGAATAACTTTCTGAAACTGGATTGGCTCTGTTTCTCTTTTACCCAGTGAAGGAAGGCTTTGTTTCTGTCTCGTCTTTTTTTTTTTTTTTTCCCCCACTGTATAAGAAACACTTTCAGCAAATGGTAATTTACCCTACTGCGGCTTTTTGGTACTTATGATTGTTGAATAAGCTGTAGAAGGCAGATCAGAAAGCATTTCTGGTTACTGATTTTGCAACAAGAAGATACAAAGATAAAATGGATAGCCATTGGACTCCTCATTTTTTTAGCTCTAAAGGAGCTACAGATGAGGGCTGCAGTTTGAATTTGATTGACACGAGGTGATGTTTATGTTATGACAGTTATGAAAATGTGCAGCTGTTCATAAAGAAATAGAAATTTAAATCTGTGATCTTAGAAAATTCTACCTGATCTTACTGATTCCATCTGTTCCCATGCTTTTGAAGTACCCACTTTCAGCAGACCTTCTTTCACTTTTTAGTTTTGTCTTTTGTATGCTGATAATCTGTATATGAATTAGATTAATTCATGCCAAACTGACAATCAAACACCGTATTTGTTGAAAAACATTTATTTAAAGGTGATAGTTAAGAAAATAATTGTCTTAAACCATTTTTCCATTATGAATTTTTTTATAGAAAAAATATTGTGAAACCTCTGAAGAGGAGCAGCAGAGGTCAGCTATAAAACACCAAGCTAGACTAAGACTTATTTAACTTAAAAATAACATTTCAATACAAAGCAGTAATTGTAGGGTATTGCCGTTTGTTGAAATCATCTAAGCTTTATTGATGTGGTATTGCCATGTAAGAGGGCGTTAGTTTAGAAATCTGAAGCATCAAGTAAAAAGCAAAATCCATTCTCCTGTGCTCTTAAGTAAACATTTTAATTACAGGATATGCTGATTGTTTAAAATATTTCCTTGACATGCTGCCTTGTTAAATTCAGTACTGAGTGAAATATAATAGAGGACATGGGTTTGATGCCAAACAGTTTTGAAATCGGCAGCACATGCCAAAATTCAGTGTTTACATAAAATTATGTTATCCCTAGTAGGATATCACAGGAATATGTATGCCCACTTTTATAGGAACCTATTACAAGGATAGGTTACATTTTAGATCATAGAATCACAGAATGGTTTGGGTTGGAAGGGACCTTAAAGATCACCTAGTTCCACCCCCCCTGCCATGGGCAGGGACACCTTCCACTAGACCAGGTTGCTCAACGCCTCATCCAGCCTGGCCTTGAACACTTCGAGGGATGGGGCATCCACAACTCTGGGCAACCTGTTCCAGTGCTTCAACACCCTCTCCGTGAAGAACTTCTTCCTGATATCTAATCTAACCCTCCCCACTTTCAATTTAAACCCGTTCCCCCTTGTCCTGTCACTACAGGCCCTTGTAAAAAGTCCCCCCCCCAGCTTTCTTGTAGCCCCTTCAGGTACTGGAAGGCTGCAATAAGGTCTCCCCGGAGCCTTCTCTTCTCCAGGCTGAACAAGCCCAACTCTCTCAGCCTTTCATCACAGGAGAGGTGCTCCAGCCCTCTGAGCATCTTTGTGGCCTCCTCTGGACTCGCTCCAACCAGTCTGTATCCTTCTGATGTTGAGGGCTCCACAGCTGGACACAGCACTCCAGGTGGGGTCTCACCAGAGCAGAGTACAGGGGCAGAATCCCCTCCCTCGACCTGCTGGCCACACCTCTCCGGATACAGCCCAGGATACGGTTGGCTTTCTGGGCTGCCAGCGCACACTGCTGGCTCATGTTCAGTTTTTCATCCACCAGTACCCCCACATGTGTTACACTGTGTGCCTTAATATGTGGCCTGACAGTAAGCGAGTAGGTGAAACCTTTCAGACAATATAATGTCATTCTTAATCTAAGAAGCATGTTTATTTCTGTTACAGTTTAATGTTAATGTAGTCAATCTTAGTTTATTGTTTTATTTTTTCCCCAATGTAACTGTGTTTATTGAGGCAAGTGTAGGTGGTTGGGTTTTTTTTGTGCTGTTAATCTGCTTTTTAATTAAATTTTGTACTCTGAATTTATCAGCCTGCCTTTCAGGCCTTCATAACACTATTATTATTGATCTACTAGAGTCATCAACAAATGCTGTTTACCTTTTCCCAATGGTTTTCTTGTTAACCTAGACAATGTAAAATGAAAATTACAGTGTTTTCTGAAATCTCAGATACGCTTATTTTAGGTCTTATCTCTTTTTCATTTGTCACTAAAATGTGTACATATCAGAAGGCTAAACCTCTGTGTCTTGCAAGACAGAGTGGCAGCTGTGTTTTTGTAGATTTGTGTGCAGTTTCTTTTTCTGTCATATATTTTTAACAGGAATGGAGTCCTCTGCTGTTCTTTCAGCCTGTGATTCAGCATGATATGGTGACATCGTAGACCAACACATCCATATCCTGTTGTTTAGACCAAAATTCTTAGCGAGCTCAGAGTTAACTGTTCCAAGTCAGCACTTTCTGTGATTCTCTTATATTTTGCTATTTACATTTTTTATCAGTGAACTGGTGTGGCTTTGATGAAAATTCGCAAGAGTCATATCACAGTCTGCCTTTGCCTTTTTCACCTCCGATTCACCCCGTGAAGCTCTGCTGGGCTGCATTTCAGACCCGCTGTGCTCACACTGCTCTCTTCCACCATGGTACGCACGCAGGTCACCTTGCTGAGTCCTGTGAGAACAAAGCTTCATAACCACCCACCCTGGGAAAAGATTTTTAGTAACTTGCTGTTGCTTCTTTAAGCTCTTTCTTGATATTTTTGTTTCCAACATGTTCAGCAATGATTGTTCCATTTTCTTAGGTTGAGAAAATCATAGATTTAGATTTTGGGTTCTGGAGACAATACAGTAATGGAGAACTCGGGGCAGGGAGGGGTTGTCAGTTTTTACACAACTTTAGAACCAGGAGTTAGAGAATTATTTTGCTGAACAGATCTCTTCACATGCATTTTTTATTACTGCCATGTATTTCTTCCTGAGAAGTGTATGGAAATTGTATTAGCACTTTATGTAAGTAGCAGTCACTGGAAGCTTTACCAAATCTAAAGTAAATTCATGGTAAATTCATTTTTTTTAAACCAGAAAATCCATTTATTAGCATTGGTACTGAATTAGACGTACTATCCATACCTCCAATCATTTAACTGAAAAGAAGCTTATTTGGAAACAGGAACATACCTGGGAAAATGTACTTCACCAAAACTCTCAGTTTCTTTTTTATTAACAGAATATTTAAGGAATATGTTTGGATGAGTGACTTGGATAAGTGCTGCAGGTTTCTTATGAGTAATTTGCTCTTCTGATTTGACTTGAAGTTACAAAATGTTCTTTACATGGAGCAGTAAGACAGGCTTACCAGCGGTAAAAGCTCATTTCTTTTCTATTCTTTTTTCCCCATTTACCACGCTTGTGTGAGAGCATGCATACAGTTTTGTGCTTTCTTAAAAAAAAAAAAAAAAAATAATCTGCTCTTCTGAAGGATTATAAGGGAACTGAGGAAGAGGGCAGAAACAGTTGGTGTTTCTGAAATTTTAAATAATGTTAGCAGCCTGTTTAATAAGCAGTAAGTAACAGAAACTCACTGGATAGATTTGCTGGATACTTACAGTAAAATTTCTTGCAAGAAACTAGCTATGAGTTTCAAGAAAAAAGAAAAGAAACAAATGCTGGAGTTCTAGATACTCGTGCATGAAATAGGAATATAAATTCTGGTTTTAAAAGTCATTACACTGATGACCCTTACACTGTAGGCCAGCTTCCTTCTGGTTTTGTTTGAGAGATCTGTCATCACACTTGATGCACCTGCTGAGGATCACACTGGGATTTGGTGACATGCTATGAAGGAAATACTAAGTGGTTGAGAAATAATACATTACTAAAGTACATTTTGAAGTAATATAGTTCTGAATGCCTATTAGAACAGAGTTCTTAGTTTTGTTAGGAAATAAATCAGATTCTTCTGGTGTCTAAGTTGGCCTGGAGTCGCATTCATCATTCTGACATCCCCTGACACCACTTCTGATGATGCAGATTGGTAATGGGTTATTCCATCCTCTCACATGGATCTTAGTAGTGTTGCTTCATTCAGCAGTATATATGATCAACAATTTACAAAATATGCAATCCCAAAAAGTGTTCTACCAAATGTTATGTAAATTTTATAAAAATGGATAACGTGAGACATGTCATCTGCTTTCCATTAAGTACCCGACTATCTCTACATTGAGCTGTTCTGTTACCAATTCAGATTTTCTGTATGAGTATTTATGGAGTTGACCTTTTGCTGAATTTTACCAGAGAATATAGTGATACAAACTTGTTTAGAGTGGAAAGTGCTATAACTCAGTCATTAACCAAAAAAGTTGCTAAAACTTTAGAATCACAGCATGGTTTGGGTTGGAAGGGACCTTAAAGATTATCTAGTCCCACCCCCCCTGCCATGGGCAGGGACCCCTTCCACTAGACCAGGTTGCTCAAAGCCTCATCCAGCCTGGCCTTGAACACTTCCAGGGATGGGGCATCCACAGCTTCTCTGGGCAACCTGTTCCAGTGCCTCACCAGCCTCTCCGGGAAGAATTTCTTCCTGATACCCAATCTAAACCTCCCTGCTTTCAATTTAAACCCGTTACCCCTTGTCCTGTCACTACAGGCCCTTGTATAAAGTGCCCCCCCAGCTTCCTTGTAGGTCCCAAATTTAAAAAAATTAAGACTACTTTCCCCCAAAAAACAGTAACAAACTAGCTGTGTTTAGGCCCTGCTTTTTTTTGGCAGCATTACCACTGGATGATGGAGTTAGAACCTGCTCACCGGAGGGGTGGTAGATGTGCAACTAGTCGCAGGTCACACTTGCCTCTGTAGGTTTGCAGGGCAGGCTCTTAAGTTTGCAACATGTCTACAAAGCAGTTTTTCTGTAGTGTTCTGGTACAATATTTACTCCCTAAATTATTTTTGCCTTCCTTTTCATTGTTGTTCACCTCACACACTCTGTGTATCTTCACTTGTACACCTTCAGTAGTACCTGTACGCTAGGTTCTAGTCAGGATACATGCATAAAATATTTCACATATTTTCTTACTGGTTGTATAACCTTTTACACTTCTCCTAATAGAATTTCAAAGGCAGTTTTGGTTTCTAATCTCTATCCACACATGATGATGCATGAAACTTATGTGTGCATCCATTTCGGGAACATGGCAGCCATGGAAGCCATGGGGGATAGTTGACAATGGCAAACCAGAATTTATGTAGATGTATGTGGCTTACTCTGAAGGTCATAATTAGTGACTTTTGTGATTAAAATTTTGTCAACCTTTAAAAATTGTCTAGAGGCAGTGACTCACTATATAGCATTTACCTCTCTGACATACAAGCCTGTTAAGAACAGGTGCAGAAATCTTTCTGTAAAGCTCCTGAGTCCTATTTTTGAGGAGAGATGAGGGAAGAAGTGACTTGAGAGGAAAGTCCCCATAGAATATGTCTAAAGTAAGCAAATTTATGATGTTAAAATATTAGGACTGTAGCACAGTATTTTGCAAGACCTATTTCCCCATAATGCTAGCTCTGATTTGTTTTTAATAGTAGCTTTTAGTTTATGTTCTGTATTATTGTCTGTATATCATGATATGCAGTAATCTGACAAGATGTTGCACACACTAGGATTCCCTAAAGCTTCTGAAACTCCCCTGAAGTCAGGCAGGCTGCTTATAAACTTAGAGGGTTGGGTCTTTCTTAATAATGATAATGATAATAATAATAATAGCAATAAAATTAAAATAAAAATACGTTTCTTTTTCTCCCCAAATATTGCTTAAAATTCTGTGCCTAAACTTTGATGTTTTCAATAGACCAGAAAATACACAAAATGCATTATCTTTATGAAGAGTCAGACAGCATAGAGTCATTTAGTAACTCTATGTGGAAGGGCTAACATTAATGAAGTAAAACTGACTAAAACTCATCTTGAGAGCAATGGAATGGTCTCTGCTCAGTGTAATGGACTCAGACCATTACACAAACCTATGGACATTATTAGTAAAAAAACAAAGTATTTTGTAACATATTTTAATTTCCCAGAGGACTTGATAAATTTTTAGATTTAATGTGTCTGTTATAATAGTATTGGTTTTATTCTTCATTTTAACATTTTTATTTCTTTCAATTCATGTTGTTTTTTCTGTAATATAGGGGCCGTTCATATCCGCATCACTGGGAAAAGCATTACATAGTGGGTTTGCATGTCCTGGTTATGTAACTTTTTCACAAGGATGCTTTTAAGACCAATAATTTATCTTATTTCTTCTGCATTGATTGTAAAATATACATAATTATTAAATGCTAGGAGTAATGTTGTAGCTGCAACTTGAGTAAACTTCCATTTTTTCAATCCTTCATTTTAATTAGTTTATAAAAATCTTTAATGAAACATTGTATTTCCATTCACAACTTAGTTTTGAAAATTTGAATTAGTTGTACCTTTGTCTTGCCTCCTTGATTATGGTTATATATATGTTACCTATTGAAAATATTCTACAATATGTCACATATTGTAGCTTAGAAAGAGTTTGCGATTTTCTCATCTTTCACATATTTCATCAGGAGAAGAAAAAAGATAAGAAGGTAAAATGAACTTTGTCTTACACACTAGTGAAAAATAAGTTGTGTAATGTAGGCAAATCAGGAACTGGTTATTACAGCTAACACATTTATTAAAATTAATTATGTTTCTAGGTTCCATGGTTCCCTTCTCCATGCGGATTTTACATGCCGAACTTCCTCAGTACCTAGGAAATCCTCAAGAATCACTTGACAGACTGCATAGTATGAAGATAATCTGCACCCAGGTAACGGCTTCTCTATACAATAACATTTCTTAATGCTTAAGAAATATATTATATTGTCCTCATAAAGAACAGTAATTAAGGCCAGGCTGGACGAGGCTTTGAGCAACCTGGTCTAGTGGAAAGTGTCCCTGCCCATGGCAGGGGGGTTGGAACTAGATGATCTTTAAGGTCCCTTCCAACCCAAACCATTCTGTGATTCTGTGACATTTTTGACTCCATCTTGATACAAATAAGGAATTCACTAATAGAAATAATTGCTTGCCTCTTCCATTTTAGAATACAACCTTCTCTCTGTGTTAGCTCTGACTAAAACAAGTAGAAGTGTGTACAGCACAGTTCACCTGCTTTCGTGCTTTTGCCATACAAGACATGGAGGACAGCAAGCATGAGTGTTTAAGGGCGAGAAGGAGAGCTTTCCTCCTTCCCTCAGCTGCACCCAGCTTGCTGCAAACACAGTTGTTAATGATCATTACCCCTCAAAAATAGTCTTGATCCTTCAGAAATAGTCTGAATAGCTGGGTTTGGAAACAACATTCATTTGGAGTATAAATACAACCTGCTGAGTTTGTTTTGGGGTTTTTGTTTTGTTTTCTCAAGTGCTGTAATACAAAATAATGGCCTAAATTATAACATGGGATTTGTTGGTACTGAAATTGGAGTGATGGTGTTATGAGTACTGACCTTGCCAACTAAACCCAACACCCTGACTGTTAAACATTCATCCTTAAATGTTTTTTACAGAAATTTTTGCCAAGTAGTCTAATGCAAGAGAGACTATGGGTATTACAACCTGGTAAACCCTAGAAGAAATGCAGCATTATTGTTTTATCTGTGACACTTGAAAGTTGAAAACTGTAAATAAGACAAGTACATGCAATTAATTTTTATTTTCAGTATGCCTTGGAAGTTTCCTATATTTACTTCTGAAAATAACTGGGATAACAGAAATGCAGGGATTCTATAATTGCCAATTTTATAGCTATAATGGCTTTATGTATATAATATCAACTTGGTTCTAGCACAGTAGTGCATAGGTAACCCATGTTTTCAGTAAAAACCCCCAGTTCTTTGTATTTTGAAGGAAAAAGCTGAAGGGTTTAGGTAGCGAGACTGCAGAGCAGGGCCTTCATCGGCCATCTGGCTAACTTGGTTGAAATGGCTGTATCCCAGTTACAGTGTGATCAGCTATGATTCTCTACAGATTAAAGATTATTGGTCAGGAGAAGAATGAAAGAAAAGGAAATTCACACCCTGCGCTTCTTTACAAGACGTTTAAGGCATCTGCAACCTTGAGGTGGCTCTGCCTGTGGCCTTTTCCTTGAAGTGCATATCCTTAGAGCATACCCAGTGTACCGAGGAAGCTTTTAAACTGTAATACAGGATTTGGTTTGAACATGAACTAGGCTGATTATTTGTGTAAATGAAGGAAGAGGATGTGTTGTAGAAGATGAAATAGAAATAAAGGAGATGTACAAATTAATATATACATATTTCCCTGCCTGCTGAGTTCTTGAGGAACAGGTCTATGTTCTCACGTTCTCACTCCACCAACTGCTAGTGACCTAGGTCACTACAGATTTTGTGTGATCTCTTGTGCCCCTGGGCAAAGCTTCTTTGAGACTGGCTGTATGTCTTCCACTAGCTC